CGAAACCGTAGTTGCTTCCACTGCTCGGAAACTCAACTGGATCCAAGGGGGTCCAGGGTATATTCCCTGTTCATAGCAATTTTCGGGACTGTATTTATAGACAGAACGCGCTACTTAGACTTCGGTCCGTTGATGCAGAAACGTAGGAAATTCTTGGATTCAAGGATTTCAAACTGGATGTGTGTGAATGTAGGATATTAGACTAGTGGATGATAATGGATGCTGGGGTATTTAATAAAAAAAACAATAAAAAAATAAAAATAATAAATAAAAAAAACAGAGGCTTGAGTTAGATAGGTACATAAGGTTGTTTCCCAGGGAAAGCGGGGCATTGGAGGATCTGCAAATAAAGGCAAAGAAGAGAAGAGACAAAAAATTGTCAGCTGTCAAACAACCCCTACCATGACATAAGATAGAGTACGTAGCAGGATTGGCATGGACGGCTTCTTTGTTGGCCATTCTGCAACTAACAAAGTTCAGCACCATGATATGCTTTGCCGGGACGTTGAACCATATGCGGGCGGAGTCTAACAGGGTTGCTGAGTGGCTGGATGTTGACCTTGGCTGATTAACCCTGTCTCCTTCGCATGTAGGATTCCTCATCGGATCGACTTTCCGAGAAGTGTCAGAGACGTTTCGAAGATGGACCTCCTACGTACTGTCAATGCAGCTCACCTCAATCAAACTGGATGAGAGGAGATGACTTCAGCCAGGGCTTTGCGGGCAGCGCAGCCGCGGTGGGCAGGCTTGGACTTGGACTTGGACGGGATAGGCATTTGGAGGGTCAAACCCAGCGCCGCAGCCACAAATTCTAGTCGTAGTCTACCGCGCTTCTGGCGTTTCGTCTCTTCGTCCTGGCTCTAACAAACTCCCGGTTTAGTCTATTTACAGCCGTCTCTCCGCGATGCAGTGAGTGAGTACATATGTACATAACCATGTACCAGCACATGTCCCAGGTCTGGGGAGAAGGGGGGTGTCCGTGTTTGAGAAGTTGGTGGCGTAATGCGAGTGTATGTATGTATGTATGTATGTATGTATGTATGTATGTATGTATGTATGTATGTATGTATGTATGTATGTATGTATGTATGTATGTATGTATGTATGTATGTATATATGTATGTATGTACGGATAGTCTATTCGAAGACGGACCAACCCCCTGACGCTGAGAACCACTGAGATTCGAATTGACACATGAGACGAAATGTCGGAGCTGAACCAGCGCGGATCTATAATGAGTCGAAGCGTGTATCAGCACCTGTCCGTGCTAGCAGCCCGCTCGGTGTGGCTACACGCTAGCAAATTGACGCGGTTGCGCCATCTCAAGAATGGAATAGCTGGAAACATCTGGGGAACTGGTTGTGTATGTATGGTGTGGTGAGGTGTGATGGAGGTGGAGGTAGAGATTATTAGAGATGGAGATTCTGAAGATCACCCAATTTAACTTGACAATTGCCCTATTCTAGCACAAGCTCCTGGAGCAAGAACCTTGCCAGATTAAGCAACAAATGACTTGGCTTCTGATTCGTGATGCTCTTTACAGCTTTTCATCCAGATGCTAGTTGTTCTGGCTGAGTTTTCACTTTGGAAAAAAGCCTTTTGATCGAAGTGAGACGACCCTTTGATTTTGGCTAATGGGACGGGACCTTCGTCATCTCATCGTGTGTAACCATAACAGCTACCTAATTACCAACCTTGACAGGTAATGTGCCTAATTATCGAATAGGCATTACATACGGATATTGAGAGTTGAAAATATCATTGCGCTATCGTTCTCATTTCACGTCGGAATCCAAGGTCGTCCTGCTACAGGAACCAAAGATCTTTAGCTGCATTCATCCACTCCCTCCTACAAATAGATACGCCAAGACTTGACCACACTTACAACCATCTAACAATAGAATGGTAGATAATTAGAAGCCGGACCGAAGATACGACACAGCACCTGCAAGCAATTTACCCTGGCTGCCGGCTGGCGTCCATCACGACGGCTAAATCAGCTCAAGCCTGCGCATACAATTTCCCTCTGGGTATAGCTTCCCACGGACTCGGCTGAAAGCTGAAACTGCTTAACCTTGCTCCTGGTTGGTGGCTCGACCATTGAGCCTCTTCCGTGAGCAGAATCCCTTCCCATCCACGATTTTCTGGGCCTACGTCTGTATCTCTATCGTGCTGCGACGTCGCAAGCAGATGGCGTGGGGCATGCTATCCCGACTTGGAACAGCTTGCGACCCCCTGGCTCCCTTAGTCTACTTAGGTAAGGTAGGTAGGTAAGGTATTCTTAACTCTCGTCTCTCTCCGCTGGCAATGCAGGCAGTCAGTCCAGATTGAGGCTAAAACTTCAGGGTTCTAGGTACCTTAGCTTAGCTCGGCTTAGGTATGTGTTCAACACCATCTGGGGGCCCACAGTGAAGAAGAACACCACGCCGTTTGTGTTTCTTGCATGCGCCCAATCAACACATTTGTGCTTGACCCGCCCAGCAAGTTGCATACATGTGTGCCTCTCAACAATAGCAAGTCAATAGACAAATGTCGGGAAAGCACCCCAATTTCAACAACAACTGGGTCGTCTACTAACAATACATCCGCCAATGTAACGCGATCAGTCCGGGATCACTAGGCACGTACATACTAGCCAGCATCATCCCATTCGCCTTATCTGGGCACAGCTCTACGTAGCCGCCTTATGCGCAACATCTATCAACACATAAGCCCAAACAACAGCTATCTTAGTGATCGCCCAAACATCCTCTGTCAAGTCACATCTCAATCAACAGTTGCCAGCTATATCCTCGGAGACGCTGCCTTGTTGACGGCACAGTCTCGGAGCATAGCCCACAACTTGTTTCGAAAAACGAACCTCTCAGTATCAATGGACACGGGCACAGCAGCCGACGGGACGACGTCAATAGCATGGCCGAGTGTATGTGGTGGCAGCAGCGGCGGCGATGCGGAGTAGCGTCCCTGTCTTCCTTTCGTCTTGTCTTGCTTGACCAAAGATGAACTTTCATGTCTTGCTGTAAGGGGCCACCTAGAATAGTAACTTGGATCTCTTCTCACTCATCCTGTCCCAGTGCCTGGTCTGGCCTCGGCATCTCCCGGTTTGAGACATATTTATCATATGCTTGTGCGCGTCCCAGGCTCAGCTGCTCCAATGCTGCCGCAGCGGTCTCATACCTGCCAATTCTCATTCTGCCAGCATGAGTGACACCCCAGACTGTCTAGGTTTGTGACACAACCATGTTCAGGAAGCTTATTAGGCGGCCGAAACCCCTGAAGGAAGTTTTCCCGCAATGGAGTATGTGTCAACTTGCAGGTAACATGCCGCTGCGCCTCACCGAGCAAGGACGGTTTTAAAAAAGGGGCACGACTACTGTTGTGGAATGAATTATCCATCCAGATACTGATTTCAGTATTCGTCTGGAGGTTGGACCGACTATCCTGAGGTGCCCTGGCTGGCCTGGATCTCTCAGCACTGGAATTCCTTGACCCTGGTACGGACAATTTATCCCCTTGTGGAGATCATGGTTCGGACGGGGCTCTCAACGCCATGATCTACACCAACCCGTCATGCTAACCAGCAAGGGCGAACCGTTGCTCGAAACTGCCGGCAAAACAATGGACAGGCTTGGCTCGTCTGCTTCTCGAATTCTTCAGTGCAGGCTTCCTTGGCGCCACAATGCTAGGATGGTCCCCCGTCCTCGTCTCACGAGTCTGCTAGCCTAGCACCACGGCCCATGACTTGACTTGACTTGACGGCTATCCGAATGGTCGTTGTTGACTTTGGAGCAGCAGCTCGAAAATATCTAGTGGAAGGACGCATCTCTCTAGTCATTATCCTAACGCATGCAGCACCGTGCCTGTGCCACCGGGCTAGGACCGACTGCCGCGCTCATAGCCTAGCATAATTACAATGATGATGCTGGTTCCCGCTGCAAGTATACGCTTTGGTTTCTCTCCTGTGGTCATCTCCATTTCCCAGAATTTCCATTGCGGACTGCTTTGCTCAGCACTTCAATCCTGGGCAGATTGGCCTACTAATCCTATACATCTCATAAGAGCCCTTGATCCATTGATCCACACCCTTCAGCCCTCCGTTCCTGAGACCCCCCGACCCCAGTCCCAACCCCAAACGACTACCGTCTTCAGAACCCTACCGGCCGCTTCATGCGTTATCCATCTAGTCATAGCTTTTAGCGACCTACATACTTTTCTGTCGTAGTGGATTCGTCTCATCTCTTCCCATTCCCCTACTTTGTTGCATGTTACCAAGCCCTGACATAGCCACTGGGTCTGAATCAGATCTCTCACTTTCGAGTATCCTCCCTGTCTTCCCCCGTCACTAATTGGAGCCCGGACCTCTGAACAAAGCGGCTCCGATGATCTGAAGCTGAGAGGGCCCTTTTTTTTGGTGGTTTTTTTTTTGACAGCGATAGAACAATAATTGATCCTGGTCCTTGACAAGATCGGCAACCTGAAATCTTCGGTTCAGCGGGTCAGACTCGATCTATCTGACACTCCTGTCACTCTTCTCACCCCTTCTCTATGCGTGAAAAAAACAAATAGCATCCGTCTGCCAAGTTTCATGTTATTCTGCACCGAACCTAGACCCCAGTCTTCTGGAAGACGTACAAGAAACAGCCGTCCCCCTGACAGTTAAACGAATTGTCTCTCCAATCACTTTGTTTTCATCCTCTTTACTTTGTTCCTTCACCGATCTGTGGAGTGTCTTCGCATTATAATCGATAATTATTCCGGAACGAGGTTGATCCTGTTTCTAGTACCTTGCGGCGGTTATCATGAGATTGTGATCCCCTGAACCTCTACCATTACCAGAAAGACGACTTTGGATCCCGATGCTGTAATCAAGCAAAATACACACGCCCATCATCAGTCTTTTCACGAATCAAGTGGCGCCAGTTGCATATTCTGCCAGTTCCATAATCACTCCATTCTAATACGGCTTCTGTTCGGACAAGTCTCTACACAGACCCTAATCATGAAGATTGAGTCAATTCTAAACCAGTTCAGCGAACTTGACACGGAAGCGAGGGATAGTCGAGAAAGCCCACACCTTTACAATGAGCAGAAGGAACATAGAGGCCCGTCATTGTCACTGTCAACTCCGTCACCCGACTGCACCCAGTCTAGAACATCTAGTGTGCGATCCGATAGTCGAACTCGAACGCCTTGGGATGCTGGTGGCTACTCTCTGCCACGGGATATTGGCCCCAAGAACTCCACGCGACCTCCTTTCACGCCAGTGACTTGGGAGGAGCAGCAGGAATCTGCGAGACGTCAGAATGCATCTAATTACCACTCCAGACAAGTATCAATGGATACATCAGCCAGTATAAATCTTCATGGTTCCGCAGGATCATATGCGCTACCAGTCCGGTAAGAAAACTCAAAACCACAACCCGGTACGGGCATGACAAGCTTGGGGTTGACATTGATTCAAGTAGAATGCCTTCAACTCCAGAAGTCCATCAAGATGCTTGGGCGCCGAAAAGGTACCCCCTTTACTTCCGCGCTGGTGTATATTCCGGCCGGTGTTCGACGATCTAGCTTGACTAACAAGACTAGTAACCACAGTGAGCGCCGTGCTTCCCAGCACATGAGAAGGTGAGTCTTGGTCCTGCCGAAGTGTTGGTGTTGCTATTCTGCATGATGTTTTGCACACTGGCGGCCAATCGCAGGAGTACACATACTAAAACGAATCAAGATCAAGTCTCTGGACGGAATACAATACGTCGCCCGCGTCAGGGAGCCATAAGATATCAGACAGCCGCAGCAGTTTCTCATCTTGTTGCTCATCAACCTTCTCTGCTGGCCATTCCAGATTCTCGTCGGTATCTACCATCAACGGGAGCAATACGGTAGGCTCTGGCATCGCTGACCTGGAAGCAAAATTGGAGCGGCTTCCAAGGATAACAGCGCCCCTCCCTCCAGTAACAGTCGGTCTGTCTGCGAAGCCGCATGCTCGTCAGCGTACCAATGGTGCTAGGTCGTTGTACGCGGGTAGCCCATCTGACACGATTCTAGAGGCGAGGATGATGAGAAGAAAGCACAACCATTTGTCAGAAGATCAAACGTGAGTCAATATCTCTTTGTTCCTATGCAGGAGAAGATGGCTTTCAGCATGAATCGAAGTTCGTTCATTGTTTGCCCCTTGCCAATCGTCCAAACCATGCATTCATGTATCGTTTGCTTGCACCCCCTCGAACAGAAAAAGGGGAAATAGCAGTGTCGAACTATATGGAAGCCTCAGAGGCGCATATTTAGCCGCTCGTGAATCACAGACAATGATCATATTGTCAGGAGAAAAACGATTGCCAGCTGCAGACGCTTCTCGGATGGATTATGTTTAGTCATAAAAGCTGGTCCATTAAGCGGGAGGAACTTGGCCCTCGAAAGCAGCATTGTCCCACTACCAACCTGGCCTCGAGCCGGTGAATCACACTGCGTGTTTATAGTTCTTCTCAGGCAGCCGGAAAAATGTTTGCATTCTTCTAGCTCCCCCGTCCATCTTTCACTCCTTATGTCCTCGCACATTCCCCTTGCTGTCTATTGTCACTTTCAGCCTATAAATTTCCCACCAGGAATATACTGACTCTGTTCCCTTTGTTCAGCTATTTGAAGCCAAAAGATCAGTTTCTGAATTCGTTAGATCGCGTTCATAAGCGAACCATCTCGGCACCAAACCCCGCCCAGGGCTCTAGTCATTCTTTTCCTCAAGCACCAACTTCTCTGCCACAATTTACGTTCCGGCAGCTTCGTCCTCCAACACAACTGTCACCACAAATCAACACATCTCACGACCGTCTTGGCATCGAGAAGTATCCCTGGATCCATACGGGAGAGAGCTCCCCTGCACCTAGTAGTGCATCAACAAAGTCGCCCTTCCATCCCCCGGAGACTGTGAGGATGCAGTCCAACGGGACTCTTCCAGGTAATCTTTCCCTTCTCAGTATTCTCTTTTGATGTCAACTAATGAATGTAGGTGCATCTGGACAGGCGGCGTCCCATGCTAACCAAAATGATCGTGTTCTTGCAGCATTGCATACCTTGGAAAACGTAACCATCAACGTTCCCCTCAAGGGTGGTGACATTTGTATGGCAGTTCCCGAATGCAACACTGATTCGGTACCTCGCAAGGTCATCTCTCATATTTTCGGCCGCAACAAGGTCTGCACTCGTCGCATCCCGGAGCGTGTCTGGGTTTGCATGTGTCGCAAGCACTATCAGAGGATTCGCTACCGAACTGGTATCAGATTCAGCTACACTCAGATCAATTTGGTGTACGAGCAGATCATCCGAATGATCTTCTGGAGCCGAGGTCTGGAGAATGCCAGCAGAACTAATCAGGAGGGCATAACGATCCGATCGTGGACATTCTCGATTCGAAGACGTGAGGTTAAGCGCCTGGCAGACACGAACAGTCGGGATCCCATCCCTCACTGGATCATGCAGAGCCTTGGCGAAGGCAAGACGCACGATGAGATCCTCGATGTTATTGAACGTCTTTGCCAAGAGATCGATCACGGGGATCTCAGAGAAGTTCCTCCTGTCGAGTTCCTCCCAGAGGTTGTTGATGCCTTCACGAACCCGCCTGCTCAGGTCCAGATCCATCAGACATCGGCCAACAGTCAATCCAGCCGTTCGTCTTTGATGGCTGGTGAGGCAGTTCCGTCCCCCCTCCCATTTGTCAAAGAATCGTCGCCCCTCAAACCAGTTCAAGAAGAGGGATCTGCGAGTGAGCATTCTAGCCAGCAATCGTCGTCGTCGCCCACGCCTCCTGCTGCTTTCAACGGATCTCGACCCGCTCATCACTCCAGATCGTATACCGATGATATCTCCAACCGGCCTGCTCCCTACTCATTCGGCTCTCGGTCTCCCCTCGCGAACGCTGGCATCGGGCCAGACACTGATCGACAACCCAGTCTTGGATACTATGAGAGTCAGAACCCAGCAGCACCTTCAATGAGCTATTCCAGTATTAATCGTCATATGCAGGCGCCGATGACCGATCACCGAGGTTCCTGCGATAACGCCCCTTATTACCAACAGTCTTATGGTGGCGATCACTACTATGACCCAAATGGATTCGTACTGACTGATAGAAACCTCTCGATCCATACCGCCGCTATGCCAATGTTGGCCAGAGCGGATCAGATGTATGGCACCGCAGGCTATGCTGCCCAACACAGCCGAGACAACCACTTCCTTGCGTCGACAGTCAATACTCAACTCACGCCCGCGCCCCTTAATTATCCCTCTTACGAGACTCCTCCTTTTCAGGCTTCAGGAGCGGGTTACTCGTATCCAGCTCCGGAAGAACGTCATTCTCAGCTTAGAATGAGCGGATTAGACAACTCGCTGCATCATTCCATGGCAGACGAGCGCCCGTACTCTCATGATCCGCGTTCACAAATCCACCAGCCCAACTGGTTTTCCGCCGAGACTGGGTCGAACACTAGGATCGGCCGCTCTATGAGCCAATACCAGCAGCACACATTGGCTTCCGTTGACCAAGCTAGCCTCCGTCCCTCGCGCCAGTATCCAAATGAAGAAGTTCCAGAGTATGGCTTTGCTGATCTGGTTACTGATGAAGGTGTTCCTACCACGCAACCAGCAGTAGCCTACCGTCCAAGATTCCAACACGGCTACGCATCCCCCCCCGAGTTAGACGACACTCTCGCTCGAGGCAATTACCAGGCCTATCAACACAATCTTTCGACCAATGGCGATGAAGACAACATCTACGGTGATCGAGCTTCCGACAGCGATCGCCACTAAGGAACAGATTTCCTGAATGACGGTAGGGAGCGCAAGTTTTTGAGGCCTGGCCTTGTATGCCACTTGTGAAGCTTCCTGCTTTGCCACCTTTTTCTTTTTGATACGAGCTGCACGACTATAATGAATTTATCTAATTTGCGTTGCTTCCCCGTCTGGGGCTATTCATCACTGCTGAACTGAAAAAAACGTTGCTCCATTAGCATTCGCCCGTTCCCCTCCACCCCCTTTTTTGGTATTTCCAGCCCGTTGTCTGGGAATATTGCCCCTTGGAGCACCCGAGGAAGCACGACGACACAAAAATAAGGCATGTCTCGGCATAGCTTGACACAGGGCGGATATTTGCTTGTTAATGCGATGATTATTATGATTGCTACACCGTCTGGGATGGGATTTGCTATTATGGAGATGCTTATGACATAAAGTTCGTAACTTTGCTGGTCTGAAGCGGCCATAAGTAGCCAGATAGATGATAGATGAATGACACATCTGAACAATATTTTGATGAGGAATCGTGATCAGATTCTTGTTGATGGCGCTATGTGATATCCGCTTTTCTTTGTTGAGAGATATTCGTGACTGCTGTGAGATCTAGCATGGTTGCACAATCTTGATGATCAATCCCCCCTGAACATGATGATGCCGCCGTCCCAGTCCTTCAACTCTCCAACATTGGCCCTGGCCACTTCTACATAGCCAAAACGCTTGTAAAATTTGTCGAGCCCACGCAATCCCACCAGCCAAGTGGGAACTCCTGCACGATCGGCCGCCTCCAGGCCATGCTGAAGGAGCAGTGAACCATAACCACTACCTTGGACATGAGGAGAGACCCCAAGGCTAGACAAATACCAAGCTGAACGACGCCGGGGAGAATTGAGTACGTCGGGTTCAATGGTACTGAAAACGCGATCATAAATACCAAGTCGATGAGAGTCTACGTGGCGAAGGGGAAATATGTAGGAATGTATTTTCAGCGCCGCCAACATAATGGGGGCAACCCAAGCGTCTGGATGAGTCAGTGCTTCGAACTGGTTTTGGTATTCACCGGGCTTGAGTGGATAATGCAATAGTTGGTAGAGATTCAATGAAGAGACTTACGAATTGAGAGCCATCGTTCACGGAAAGATAAGGAGTCGTCCGGCATATGCCACCAAGTGAATCCCACAGTCCTGCCTCTAGCATCATCTAGCATAGTGAGAACGTAGCCGGGCGTCCAGTAGCGCATACGAAAGCGCCGAGTAACCCACTCACGAAAGGGGGTTGAGTCGGTGTGACGGCTTGGGAACATGAAGTCGAGCAGAGTTTCTTTGTCGAAGCTCTGCATATAGAGATCTGTAGCCACAGTGAGATCGGCGGTGGTGCCGGGGCGGATGTGATGGGGCATCTCTGTGGATGTCATATGCTTGGATGGCCCTTGAAGGTGAGTGAGCTTTGGCTCCAGCGATAAGATCCGAGTATCAGTCTGGTATAAAAATAGGTCTTGGATCGGTCTCCGGGGAGTGTTTTGAGATCAACAGCACAAATTCAACCTCTGGACCCGCGTATTGGTAGTTGTATTCGTGTTGAGTTAACGTATGGGGTTTGCTTTGGAGGGATCAATGGACCTAGTCACCAGGTGATTGGTAAACAGCACTCTCCTTTCAGTGAACTTTGGTTTCCGTTAAGCTGAAAGTTTGCACATCAAGTAAATATCAATCGACATTTGCAGCTATTTAGGCAAGGCCTAAGGTGGGGATATGTCTATCAAGCTGCCATAACGGGATTTACGCCGGGTGAGTCAGTAGTTGAGGTTAATTCCGAAAACGCTCGGATTTTGCTCTGACGGAGCAGGGGTCCTCTCGCTTAACCGCCTATTAGGGAGTGTCTATGGCATGCTCTCTATTCAGCTTGATGGGTAGGCATCTGACTGATATCGCGGTTGTTGTTTTTTTTATAGAAAAAAAAACCTGCTGGTGTTGCGGGAAATATTCAACGGCTACCTTACCTTAGTAGACATGCACTAGGTTTTCGTGAGCTTAATTTAGCAACTACTTGCTGAACATCCATAGAAAGATAAGACAGGACTGCCTATACCAGCATCAAGAGCGCGAAGGAAGTAGGTACCTTAGTCCGCAGCCCTGCTGGTAGTGACATCTCGTATCCATCGTGGCAGAGTCAGTTGATTCGTAATCTCGATAGGTCTCTTTCCTGTCTGAGATAGTTGAAGCAAGGTCAGTTCCACTGTCCCCGGATATGGATCGCATCAGTCAAGTGGGAATGGGTCAATATCTAGGGTTTTGAGGGAGGTCATTGTTGGTGCATTGGTAGGCAACTTAGCTGATGTTTGAATGGAAAGGTATTAGCTTGCGATTAGTAAACAGAAATCCACCAGATCCCAGTGTTTCTTTTATTAGAATGTGATAGGTTCTCGTGTTGTCTGTACGAAAAAGAAAAAGGTCGCATGGTGGCATCTTATCTTTCTCAATGTTACCCATGGGGCCAGCGAGGCGGTGATGTCATAAGTATTGGAGTCCCTACCGCAAACAATCGAAGCTGATGCTAGAATGAACTTGAAGAGTTCAGTTTGAAGATGCTTTATAAGAGATTTGATGTGAAGTCGACTCGTGTATGATCGAGATCTGAGGAACTAATTGCTTCAGAAAATCATTCAGCATTGTCACCAAACTTGCTTAGATGGGCATGATTAATTCAGACCAACCCGCAACTCCAACTCCCGTAGCGGATGGCCCGTCCCCTCAAACTACTACACCTAATTCTAAGCGTAAGGTAAGCTTGGCTGCTTGGGTGGCACGTAATGTCCGGGCGCGCTAACCTGCAAATGACATCGCTGTAGATGGGGGATGCATCCACCATGGGCATGACATGGCCATGGCCTCACTGGGCTGAGAGGTAACGGTCTCTCCGGGGAATCGGGAGGGGGGATTTGCAGCGTGACCCGGCATTTCGGACGCATGAGATGTGATTGATGGATGGATGGACGGATTCGATGTTAGGGGTACCTAATTCCTCTCAGACTTCAAGCAGCGCAGTATGTACTTACCTTACCTTACTTATGTGCTGATTGAGTACCTCAGTACCTAGGTACCTAAGGTAGTTAATTAATCTATCTCTAGGCCCTGTATCTCTCCCGATTAGTGGGGTTTGAGGGTTAATCATGCCTCTTGAGGAAGCCATCTCTGCAGTCGTCGTCTGGGTTTAATACTTAGGTCGTTACCTAGGGCTGTAGTTGAGCCCTTCCATGATCAATATCCTGTACTGTACTACCTTAGTAAGTAAGGGAAGTAAGTGCCAAGGTAGTTTAAACTCTCCGTCCACCAGGCGTGTGCTGTCCATGTTCCTGCTTGCTTTGTGGATTTTGGCTCCTGTGTCTTTCCCTTTCAGGTTACTTGCGACATTACACCTTATTTGAAATCATCCCTGAGCTGGCAGGCCCTGTTGCCCCCGCTCTTTCCGCTGTCTGCTTTCTTCTTTAGTTAGGCCCCATTACCTTTTTGTCCAATTTCCAATATTTACCTTATCCTTCCAAATCAACATCTTCAGCCTTCTTCTCACAGCCTTAGGTTCCATCACCATTGCCCCCCTGCAGCGGCTGACTAACCGATTAGACGTCATCCTTGGTTTGGTCCCTGTCAATCTTGACCTTGCACCTGGCACCCGGCGCCCATCTACCGGGTTCGCCATCTAGAGTGCCGTATGTACAACACGGCATAGCGTACAGCGTACAGCTACCTACCACCCGCTGTGCTGCGCATTTGCTGTGGTCTCTTTGCAGTGCGTATCTGCAACCACCCCTCGGCCTATTCTGGCCCCAGGCCTGGAAGCATCAAGAGACCCATCGACATCTAATCAACTCTGTGGCCCGGGGGGGCATCATGTTCTCTTCGTACTGAGACTCGACGTCAAATAGCCCTCGTTCCCGGCCTCAATGTCTCGGTTCTCCTCTCTTTCCTTACCATCAGTTTCATTATCAGTATCAGACAACAGTCTCAATCTTACATCAAGCTCAACAACACGTACACATACACTCACATTTACATCTGCATCTGCATCTTACTCCTGCTCACGGTATACGCCTATCAAACCACTCTGTCTAGGTAGCTCAAATTCTTCCATTACCTCCTTGCTGTCTGACATAATAAAAGCGTAGTCAGCATAAGTCTTTTTTTCTAACGTACACCCACCACACTACCTCCTCAAAGTACAAGCCCATCTTACGGGCTACATATCAGCCACCACGGATCCCAGAAGAAGAACCATTATGTCTCGCTCCGTGTCATCTTCACGGGGCTCTGAGTCTCCAATGGAGCCTGAACGTGCGCACAGAGCCTGTGAAAAGTGTACTCGCACCAAAAAGAAATGTGATAAAGCATTGCCTGCTTGTTCTCGCTGTACGAGGTGTGTAATTGCCCTTGCAACTCGATTTTCCGATCTCCTTTGACTAACTCGCTAGACTTGCAACTACGTGCTCCTATGATTTTATCTACACGGCCCCAACAACCGCTGTTGTGGAACCTGGATATCTTGCAGGATCTACACCTAAAGAAGCATATGGACAGGGTATATTTGACCCTGCTTTTGATGTTTCCAGCTCAATGGTGATGGCGTTACTGTCATCGCGCAACATTCCTTGGCGTGAGGCAACCGAACGCTACTTTGAGACTATGAATCCCTGGTTCTCTGTAATCCATCCGGAACTCTTTGCCATCCGTACGGACAACCTAGGGTCAGGGGCCAGCTCCAATGCCGATCAAGGACCCCGCGACCCTGCTGTTGCTCTCCTCATCGTTTGCATGCAGCTCGTCTCTCAGTACGATGATGAAGCTGCTGCCGCGAGCACCAACGTTAATGAGGGTAAGGATATGATTGAGATGCCAGCTTATAGGGCTGCCAAACGAGTCCTGAGCGTCTTACGTGGTCTTTCTGCTCCTAGCATTGAACTTGTCCAATGTTCCATCCTGCTGGCACTCTTTGAGTTTGGCCACGGTGATGTAATGCGTGCTTAT